CATTATGACGATATTATATCTTGTGTAGTATTCATTATAAAGTGTTTAGATATTTGTGAATATTTCTAATTTATAATTAGTTTTACAATATAAATGGATATTTTATGTACAATATTTAGATTACTGAACTGGATTATAACGAATTTCAATTGTTTTTTTTTGGAAGTATCTACTACTGAATTGATTATGTTACTTAAACTTTATGTAAACTGTTTCTTTTTTTAAACATACCTTTAAATTCTAAGTATGTTTTGAAATATTTCACTAGAAAGATATGAGATTTAATTCATATTGTATGAATGTTACCATTGGCAAGTCAACAAATAGTTATATCTATTTAAGTAAACTCATAAATTAAAACAATCCGTATTCATAAAAATTAACCTAGTGGGTATTTTATATCAAAGATGTTTGATCAACCATTTAGTTAATAAGAAAATTAGCAATGTTCTTTCTATAAAACAGTGAAAAATTTAAACAACCCATACAACTAATTGGTAATATTTGGTATCTATTTGGTATGATTCTTTATTTTCTCTCAGATCTCTTAAAGACAGTCTTGCTTAAATACAAAAGACTACAGTAAGTTACATTATCTCCAGTTCTAAGCATAAAATTTCACTTCAAAAAATTTTTAGATTGTTATGAACTTGTGTTTCATATAATGTTTATGATTCAAATGAAGTGATAACAAATAGTTTAACAAACTATTTCAAATAAATAAAATAAAAATTTCCTACATTTTCACAGCGCTATCTACTAAAACTTGATATTATTCCCACTGAACTCCCTTGGATAAATTTCGATAGTGTAATAAGAAGACTATGTGAGACATTAGCGCAGTACATTTCGAACAATATAATCACATATAATACACTTGTTAAGAACATTTATTTATAAAAATAAAATATCAAGTAGACTCGAAATGGAGGGTAAGAGGAAACAAAGATAATGAAGAAATAATGTGAAAACAATTTGAGACCTCATCATTCTGGATAATAAACACATATTACCAGAGTAGATTTAATAATCTCATTCGAATATTTTTCAGAGATTATTAAATTAGTATCAGAAGGGGTTTTGTGGTGATTGTAGTAATTTCAACGGTTGAGATTATGAGTCCATTGAAGTTAGACCACCATGGAGAACTTGGAAGCACTGGAATCTTAGATCACAGTTTTTGTTTCTCACTTAACTCTTACGGTAGTGTGTGTTCCTAATATCAAGATAAGTAGTATATAACACTAGTCAGGAATAGAATGTCTGCGAGTAGAGTGTAAAGAAGATAGGAGAGGAAAGAACGAGAACAGAAATTAATGCAAGAACAATGAAGTCTGAGACTATTGACTGATATTTGCAAAAAGAGAAGTCACGTTTGAGGCAAGTGATTGACATTTTGCAAATTAAGTATTCACTATATGGTTCACAAAATTTACTTAGATGTTCTGTAATTTCATGTTCAAAGACATTTAATTTTCACAATTGTGTTCTCGTTCAATGTACTACCATGTTAGTAACAAATATCATAAACGGTAAGTATTTAGTTTATTTGCTGGCTTCTGTAATGACATCAAATTACTGAAAAATTCCCATTATATTAAAACACAATTGTACAAACGAAGAATATTTTTTTAATAATTTCTCATCAGGTTCTACTATTATAAATCCAAATTAATAATCCATTAAAATGTCCAGAGTTACAGCAGAGTACATCATTTGGAAATTGTAATATGTTAATCGAGAATCATTGTTTGTTATATGAAATCAATTCAGATAGTTTATGTTGGGGATGTTTAATATAAAGTAATAACTTGAATCAGTTTATAAGCGAAATGAAATTGTGCATTGACTTTCGCGTTGTAACTTACTGTTGATGTACGTAAAATAAACATCTGTGTATTTAATTGAACTAGATAACTTGCTCATATTTCGCAATAGTTCGGGACTATACTTTCAGAGGTACATGTCAATCAAGTTAATAGGCATAAGATATTAATATCAGGCCAATATGAAGCATGTACAGCTCTATTAACCAGTTTTATCAATGTCATAACATTGAAATGATAACTGTAAAATTAATATCTAATTTTCAACTAAATTTGATCAGGTCTTTTTATTAGCGACTTATTCTACGCAATTCATAGTTTAATAACAATGCTGTTGAAGCTGTCAGTACACTACCACAGCTTAACACTTGTGATTAGGGTCTACTGTTAAATAGATTATAGTTAATTTCTTTTTGATTCCAAGTTTTTAACCCTTCATTTGGTTTGTTATTTAAAATACCTCTCGACCTTATTCAAAACATACTTAAATCCCACTGGTTATTTCTTGTAAACGGAAACCATTCAATGGTCACTATGTGCATTTAAGTAAGAGTCGTGAAGAAGCTTTAGTAATATATTCGTTTTCACTACAGATTGATATTGATTGAAGTACTCACCCTAATGCCTGTAGTTTTGACTAATTTACAATGAAAAAATTACTTACTTGATAGCAATAAACTTTTCCTAAATGAAAACTTCATAAGTGCACAATTTTCCTCATGCATAATTTATTCCTGAGTTATGAACACAAATGTAGTTTGGCTTTGTTGTGTTTTCTTGGTATCATTTCTTACGTGGTTGTTATATAAAAACAAAATATACAGAACTTCAGTTTTTAGTAAAACCATCCTTAGCATTTATGAAAATACAACCAAATCAAGTTTGCGAATTTGCCAATCATTTTGAAATGATAGTCAGGATTACATATTGTGATATGCATCAGAATACCAGCGTAAAATGAAAATATTTCAAAAGTAAACGGCGAATGATTTTGAAGCGTATACTTCATGTTAAGAAAGAAATTCGGCCAAGTTAAGTGTGCATTTAAATACATCTAATTTCTCTCAAAGACTTCATATTTATGATAGAAATTAGATACCATCATAGTTTTAAAGTAAATATGACAAGATAAAATTAGTCAAATTCATAAACAGAAGTTTATACTATTTTTACACGTTTGGTCATTTAAACTAATAATCTCAGTTATAAATCCCTTTTTATTCACACTTCACTTCTTCCTAATTATGTAAAGTTGTGCTAAGCAACTAACTGTTTGACTAAACTTATACATGTATATGTTACTGTGAATAATATTTTATGTTTGGAAGTAATGCAACCTTTTAGCTTGGTAATTAGTAAGAGTTTAGCGATAGCTGTGGGTCATATATATCCCCACGATACACGTTTCAGTGATTACTAAAGACAACCTCATTATGTATCACGTTCCGTATAAAAAAATTAGATTACATTAAAGTTATGGTATTTTTACCCTAGTTAACGAAGATTATGTCATAGACCAAATTCAACTGATTTTATCATCTAAATTAGTATTACTCATGAATAAATGAAATGAAAGGTGAATCACCGATATGAAGTTGTTATTAGGTATTTTGTTTTAATATAATATTTAACTTAAATAGAGGTATACAACTAAAAGAACTGTTTGTATCGTCAGTGTTACTTCACAGAGATAATGAAAAAAAACACTCAAATGATTACGTTCATGCAATAAGCTATCATCAATTTAACTTTGATAGAAATCAAACGAAAGCTTCCTTAAAATTCCAGAAAAAAGAAATAAGAAAATAAGTTCAACAACCAATTTTTAAGTATTTCCGGTTAACACAAATCATCATAAAAATCACCTATGACAATTTTGAAAAATCAAGTTTTCTTTAAATGAAAATTAGTTCAAATTGTAAAGTGACATCATTGATACAACAATCGATCATTTTAATAAGACGAAAAATTCTTTTTTTTTAAGAGTATGGGGTGAGACTCTAATTTATGGACGAGCCAGTCAGAGGCGTTTTAGAGATTTCAAGGTTACGGCGCCAACTTCAGTGCTTAATGCTAACATACGATCGGTTCACAGGGGATTTTGTACAAAACATGATATTTGAGTGGCTATAACAAACAAAGTGGTGGGAATATAATTTGTGGACGAATCAATCAGGCACAAGATAATAGATCTCAGATTTTTGCGCGAAAGTCATTCATCCATTTGGCTAAATAAATTTCTGACATTAGAGCTGATGTCAGTTCGTGATGAAAACCCCATTTATAATTCCTAACTAAGGCAAATCACGACAATTATCGCGAACTGGATAATAAAAGCACCAGTAACACTGGCTGCAGCCAGGTACTACAATATATACGGATGTTTGGAGAGCGTACAGACTCCCACATAGGCTTGGTTATGTGCATCGTGTGCATCTTGTTCACTCAACAACCGGAGTGCACATAAACAATATTGAAGCTATGTGGTCGAGGCTGAAAGAGTTTTTGAGACTTTATCATGGCTCCAGAGGCCGACTATTTTGTAGCCGTATGGATGACTTCCTCTAGTGCATGCACTACGATTTTAGAACCTCTGAACCTCTTTCCAACATTGACAAGTTTTTGAACCACGTATAAGAAGTGTATCCACTTTATTTCCTTGGTTTTGTATAACATATTTTTCTTCTATACCGACTGTTTGCTGATTGGCTAATATTTTTCAAGGTCGCTTAAGATTCGTTCAAAGGTCATCCGTAAACTAGAGTCTCGCCACGTATGGGATTTTAAGGAAGTACCTATCAAAAAATACATTTTTAGATCGGTGCAAATAATTTGCGTTTAATTAAAAGTGTTTGTAACGTTTAGCAAATAGTTTGTAATTAAAATTTCATTAAACTATGAATAAAGATTTATAAGTATCCATCTGATGTTATTAACTATGTGGTTACAACCTTTGAATAAAAAGAAAGTTTTATGAAATTTAGATTAGGCTGAAGAATTTTAATGATGTTAGTACTATTGGACAGTTGACTTTTGTGACCAACATTCAATACATTTATAATCCACTTAAGTTTACATTGTTATCAATCTCATGTTAGTCATATATACAATCTTATAATAGAAAAAGAAGTGAAAAAGCAGTTTAGAATTTCAAAATTTACATTTTCAACTTACCCAAAGTATAGCTATGAACATTTGCTTTCCAGTTAATGATATGTCCATGAGAAAAGTGTATAGAACAGTAGAATATTATTATGCTGTACAATGTTTGAGATTTCCATAATTTTGTTGTAACTACGTAGAGATAAATAAAAGAATCGTCACAAAAATGTTTAAAAACAATAAATCTAGCATAAATCGCTTAAATTAGATAAAACTCAGTGTTTTTCAAAAGTATATTGAGAGTGCTTAAGTCTACCTTATTTGACTCATCTATTTTCCAACTATCTAAATATTCCAATAAATTTACTTGTTTTAGATATGTAACGCTTCGTCATAAAACGGTTACAATTTATTGAAATACTGGTAGACTCAAATATAAACGCTTCAGTATCTTGTCTACCGTCTGAAAAAAAGCGACAGTCGATTTTATTGAAATGTCAGCAATTTATATTTACAATGGATAAACTGATTTAAACTTTGAATATTGATTACTGTTACCAGATACTGAATTTTTTTCAATTATTTTCAAAGCATATTTTGAATAACTATGATTTGAATGTACAATAAAAAGATATTTGATGTGACGGTGTGCAATTTGTGATGAGAATTCTATATTTTACCGAAATCTATTGTATTTGATAAAGCTATTGTTATTAGTGAATAATGATACTTTATTTCACTTGGCAATACGTAAAATCCGAGACTTTGACAATTACTCGACCTATTAAAAATTCTTACCTTGAATAGATTTGGTTTCAGGTATTTCTTGATGCTTGGTACTTTACTTCAGTCATATGAAATGATTCTATTTAAATATCTGTTATTTTTGTTGAATAAGAAATTTAATCTGATTATTAATGAGTTTAAAGGTATCAATACCAAGGTTGAACTGGATTATTTCAAATAAATTGAGTAATAAATAAGGAGTTAATAATAAATATATTTTTTGTGTTATCACAACGAATAAAAAAATGTATTTTGGACACTTTGTGACTTAACGTAAGCCAATTCTTTTTTATTCATTCTGAAGAAGCGGCTTACATTAAGTTACGAAACATCAGAAATGCAATTTTCTTTACTCATTTGAATATAGAAAAGAATACATTCATGAATAGTAAAAAATGTTTTATCTTCGAAATCTTTTTTATCATATTCCTTAAAATGGTACCACTTATAATTTCGGAATGATAGAATCTTAGAATTTCATTATTATATAGAACTTTTAAATATGATAAAACTTAATAAGCTTCTTTTAGTCGATAGTTTCAGTAAATCCAATTAGTTCTACAATAAAGTTATTTATACTTGATGATTTCCGTAGTCTCATGTTTAGTCCCAAGAAGAAGAACAAGAAGAAAAGATGCTAATTACGTACGTTAAGTTGTAAACAAGTCACTGTTACATAACAACATGGTTAGAATTTTACAGATCTCGATTAATTTCACTGATTGAAATCATGAGTCAATTGAAGCTAGAACACCATGGAAAACCTGGAAGCACTGTGCGGCCGGTTCGATTGAGTATGGGACTCCTCAGCAGTGCTCATCCCGGATCCCGCACCCCTTGAGATTCGAATCCAGGACCTATCAGTCTCGCGCCAGGCGCTTAGACCACTGAGCTGGTATCCAACGGTGTTAATGTCTAACTTCAACCAATCCACGATTAATGTAAATCCATTATACATAAAAAAGTTTAATTGATTTAACGACATACAATAGGAAGAAATTATAGGAATATTTTTTAAAAACATAATAAATAATAATTTAGATATGCTCGTTAAAAGAAAAAAATATGTAGAATTTAGCAAAGACGTAGTATACTGTTAATTGCTCTTAAATGATTGTATTTTTCTGACAGATTGATTTTAAATCACTAATTGTCTTTTGTTCATCGTTGTTATTTACAATCTAATGGTCTAAAATGAAGACTCTTGGTTTTGTTTGATAATTCAGATCGATATTTTGCTTTAATTTTAACCATTTATAAACAACAAATATGAATTGTTTAATTAAACATGTCTTTACTATTTGTATTCTTGAGAATTTTCTGTCGTATATACATTCATTATTGTTGATTATATATTCATTTTGTTTTAGAGTAAAATTATTCTTGGTAAAATTACGATATTGCAAATGTTGTTTTATATATTGGATTAAGAATAAAACCTATAGCGTTCATTACACTGACACTCATATTATCTTCAGTAACAAGCTTCAATAATGATTAAAATTTGATTTATTTTTCGCATATAACTTCATTAATCTATGTATACTTTGAGTTGCGACTGAAATTAAAAAACCTACAATATAATATTCTGTAACGTTTCATGAAGTAAATGAATGAATTTAACAGCTACTACGAATTGCAAATTATTTCCATACGGTGACTGCTAAAAAGAAAGAATTTATGGTGAGACTTTAGTTTATAGACGAAACAGTCAGATACAAGCGCGCACTTCATTCATCCATTTGGTTAGATATCGTCTTGGCATTTTAGCCAATGTCAGTTCATGAAGAAAACTCTAAATCTAATTCCTAACCTTAACCATCAGCTTTAAATCATAATTCTAATTCCTCACACTGCATTTTAACCGTCATTTAGTCCTAGTTAACAGGTGGATGTACTCAGGACCACTTTAGAGTCGTCCAAAGGTCATCCATAAATTATAGTCTCACCGAATTTACTTCGGAAATGTATATATTTTTAGTCTTAATAAAACTGAAGTTCCTTGTGTATTTGAATGAGAGACATATAAACATTGATTTAATGTAAATATCTTTTTCCTATTTCAAAATGCACAATTATGAGATATTACTCATGAGTTACTTTAATATTCTCAAATGTAACAATCTTTCCTATGAAATTTAAAAAAAACATTTAGTGAAATGAAATGTACCGCCGAAAGTATTATTCTACCGTAATATGTAGTCTAGAAGTAATCTCAGCCCATACATTTCACGTTTGATAACTCAATCAGATATCTAAACGACAATGATTTTTTTTCGTGTGTGTACTTCAGTATTCTGAGAAAACGTCACAGTATAAAATAGATCACATTTCATGTTACAATCAATATTATAATAAGCTCTAGTAACGGTTTTCTGCATTATCGCTAATTTAAACATTAAATACATGAGTACTTTATGTCTGAAATATGTTTGTTTAAAAGATGTTCTCTTATGATCCGTTTTAAATTGAATACAGACAAAAACACCATTATTTTGTGAAATCATTTTCCCTATGTTTCAGATTGCTTAATGAGAAAACATTTAGGCGGTAGTAACTGTTTGATTGAAAATACAAGAAATAATAAGTGATAAGATTTATCATGAAAAATACAGTCTCACAAAAAAATACGCAAATTTCTAATCTTTGATGGTCGCTTAATACCTTAATCATTTGGCATTCATTCTTTTAAAAATAAAATTAAAAGCATACGGTTAGCTGTGTTTTAACCAATAATTTCAAATATATCAGCAATTGAATTTTACATTATCAATCTAAGGTAATTTTGAAAAGAACTTTGAAATCCTGTGAGATGAAAGATTCATGTGAAAAAAACTGGTGTACTGCTCATAATGTTGTCACATTTCCCCTACACTATCTAACCTAATGATACTATACTACCTTTGAATAATAAAAACATTCAATAATATGAGCGTTTTTAGCAACAAAAATATCAAAGCATCGACTATAATTTACTGGATTATCTATGTAAACAAGACGTGAAAACTTTATTTCGAAATAAATACTGTCCAAATAAGTAAAATATTTAACTATACTGAATATCTTAACAGAGCTAATATTACAGTGCAAAAATATAAAAAAAATATATACAATATCAATCACCTAAGTGATATTAGCTTGAATAAATTCTCTTCTTAATAACCACTATAAAATGAAACTTTAAAACACGTAGTTTCTGCTTCATTGATTCTTTTAATTGTGGTTATTTTACAAAAAAGAAAAAGAAACCAAAGAGAAACTTACAAGCTGAACTTGCCAAACTAATGGTTTTTACATAACTAATATTTGTTATTTCTTAGTCAATAAAGAATCTAATTGATTAAAATAGTATTACATTAGTTTAACAATATGATCAGTTCACCACAAAACAACATAAAAGTTATACGTAATTAGGTAGACCAAAACACATGTACTTGTATGGTAATTTTCATGATTTCAATTTGTATCAATCAAACATGTGACTTGAGTTTAGCCACGTTTAAATCTTACCGTATTATCAAAAATACTATTTGTATAACACACTGTAGAAAACAGTTTCATATGAACGATCGCCCAATATTTTTTTTACTTATTACTATCCTTAATCAGTAATATTGAATTATGAATGATGAGAATGCAGTAAATAAACGTTTCTTTTGCATACAAAACAGATAAATATTGCTTTTTAAATAATAGATGTTTTCTACATCTCTGTCATGGCAATGATAACTAATATTTAGGTTTAAACTTTGATATGTAATTTGTTTATGGATATGAGTCTTAAATTAAATAAACATTTACTAAATCACAGACTGAAATCATGAGTCAGTCGAAGCGTGGATGGCGGCTCAGTGGTCTAGTTGGTTAAGCGCCTGGCTCGAGACTTATAGGTCCTGGGTTCGAATCCCGCGAGGCGGGATCGTGGATGCGCACTGCTGAGGAGTCCTACAATAGGACGAAACGGCGATCCAGTGCTTCAAGGTTTTCCATGGTGGTCTAGCTTCAATTGACTCATGATCTCAACTGTTGAAATTACTACAATCTCCACAAAACCCCTCCTAAACTAGAACTATTGAGAAGGGATAAAGAAAAGGAACAAGAAGAAGAAGGAGAGGCGAAAGAAGAAGTAGAAGAAGGAGGAGAAGGAGGAGAGGAAGGAGAAGAAGATAAATACACAGCTGAGTTGTAAAAATGATTTATTCATATTTATTTATGAGTTAATTTTTTTAAAATGTTTTTCATTTATTCTATTTGACAAGAATGAATAAATAATTAATAAACTGTTTATTGAATATACACATGATATTCAAATCATTAGTTATGCATTAAGTTTCAATTAACTCTTGTGTACATCAATAGAAAAAGAACAACATTTTCCTTGAATAAATAAATTTTAAAAAAAATTG